TTGTAAAATTACAATTTCTATCCCATGCTCATCATATCATACGACATATAATGAACTTATCCATTATCCACAATCATACCCAAATTTCTCTAGTGTCAATTATATCATAAAGCATTAAATAACATTTCATAACATCACTAAGCATGTTATAGCATTTTGAATCCAAACAACATACTTGGATTCCTAAGCATTTTATCAAACACTTAGTGGGCAAATATATGTAAACACATGGCATGCCCAACAATCTATTTCATGAAACCCAAACCAAGCAATCTCATCAAACCCAAACCATGCAAGAATTGGTTTAAACATACTCTCATACCCATTTTTCATATTCTAGCTACACTAGGTGTATGCTAAACAAGACAATTTATCTCTAATCATTCTACCCATTTCATATACAACCCTAGGATCACGAAACAGAGCTACCGAAACCTCCACATGGATGTTAGGAGTACAACTATACTAACCGAGGGTCCACCAGGTCCCCACGTGCTCTCATGTTCTATAGGGGTGGCTTGGTGTCACCCCCTCCTCTTATCCTCCTTTTTCCTTGAGTTATTGACTTGTTGCCCTAATTTCCATTTTTTTTTGTCTAACCCCCTCCCTTTGCTCACCTTGTTCTCCCTCCACACTCAAAATTTTTCCGCAATTCCAAAGCCAAAACACTTAACTCACAATCTAATTTTGAATCTCACATACTATCTCCTTTGAATTCCCATCATGCTTCAGGAATTTGTGGTCAAAGTGGGCTCAAAAATTGACTTAAAACCCATGACTAGACATAAAAATCCATTTTCATCCCCCAAACGACCTCAAAACTTGAATCAAAGTCCAAAAATGGATTCGTTGATCCGCAATTAGCTAGACCTAAGTCCCCTTTAAAAGCTTAAACTACTTTGTCACAAGATCAAAATTCAAGTTTTTAAGCCTTAGCCAAACTTGGTTCAACCTCGACAGACTATGACCAACCTCCTCATCACCCGCAAACTACTCCTAAAACACCTAAGAACACAACCATAACCATTAATTTGAAAGAAAAACCAAGCTAGATACAAGAACCATTTGAAAACCGAAACCCATCTACAACTTTAAACTCAAATTCGAGGTCACACACCACACCAATTCAAGCTTACCATTAAATTCAGGGAGTTGAAACAAGGATTTTGGCGTAGCCCATACACCTCAAATCACTCTCTAACAAAATCCTAAAATTTACTCTCTTTTCTCTCTCTCCTCCAAACAATTTCTATTGTTTTGATCCTTTTCTAGCTACTTCAAAAATGATTGCTATGACATGAATCATTGCTTTGCATGGCTGGAGAGCCTTCAAAGTGGAAATGTCCTCCTTGNACAATTTCTATTGTTTTGATCCTTTTCTAGCTACTTCAAAAATGATTGCTATGACATAAATCATTGCTTTGCATGGCTGGAGAGCCTTCAAAGTGGAAATGTCCTCCTTACCCATGCAAGATGCTTGGAGGGATGTTTCCCTTATTACTTCTTGATCACCTACACTTGGGTGCACCTATTTGATATAAAGCAAGTCATTGGCACCGATGCCAGGGATTAGAAGTCAATTTAAGAAGATGAAGAAGGAAAAATCCACCTTACCAACGAGCTACTTGCAGATATCTCTCTTTGGGTAACTTCGTCCATTCTATAGTTGTACTTTTGCTTTAGTACTACTGGAATTTTTATTTTTCTTGTTATTTTGTTTTAATTTTAGTTAGTAGTTGCATTCATATTTTTCCACGTTGCATGTCTAGTGGTGATAATTAGACTCCAATCAAGTTGAATCCCTATTTAGAGAGTCAATTGAGTTAGTTAGTCCATTTAGTCCTTCAAGTCATTCAAATTCGTCAGTCACATTTACTACTTTTAATCTAAGCAAAACAGGTAGCAATATGAGTGACTGTAATAACCTAGGTCAAGAGGTTAATGAACAGGGTAGAACCCCGAGGGACTATCTACATCCCACAAAGGAGTAGTGTCGTATCTTGTTTTGTTTTCCTTGCCAATGTAGAAATCTTCATAGCCAAACCAGGCATAATCCAATTGTTACCTCAAGCTTTCCCCCTTCTTACTGAAGGATAAAGCCAAGTTGTGGCTAAATTCATTAAAACCACATTCCATCCCAGATTGACATGTTCTTTAGAAAGAGTTTTTCAATAAATTTTTTGCTCTCCACCGTACTAATGCACTAAAACGTCAAATCATGAATTTTATTGTCAATGAGGGAGAAACATTCTATCAATGTTGGAAGAGATTTAAGGATTTTCTCCAAACTTGCCCCCACAATGGTTTTGAGAATTGAACTTTGGTATGATTCTTTTATGATGCTCTCCCTATACCTTTCCCATTAGCTTGTTGAGATGATGTCTCAAGAAGAGTTCACGGGAAAGGGTCCCGATGAGGCGTTTCACTTTTTCAATACTTTAGGTGAAAGTTTTCAAATATGGGACTCAGCCTCACCTACCAATCTAGAGACCAAGGCTACCACTTCTCAAGGGAGAAAATACATATTAAAGGAAAAGGATAACCTTAAGGCCAACATGGCCACCTTATCCCAAAAACTTGGGGCATTGGAAATGAGGAAGGTTAATAAAGTAACTAATGGGCCACCCACAGAACAAGTGTGTGGGATATGTGCTTTGTCGGGGCATCCTACGGGGGAGTGCCCCACTATACCTACATTTAAGGAAGTTTTGTTGGAACAATCCAATGCAATCTCCAGATTCAACAAACCTTACTGTAACCCATATTTTGAGAACCACCCAAATTCAGTTGGAGGAATGCATAGTAAACCTTAGTCAATCACCCACTATATGGAGCACCACAATACTTACCATATCAGCCACCACAAAAATGTGGTTTGGAGGATGTACTTAACTAATTCATGTAAGTCCAAATAAATTATAATAATCCAAACACCCAGGCCTTCAATGAATTCAAAGCCCAGACTGCACATTATTTTGGTGACCTTAAGACTCACATACAGAAGTTGACCCAGGCAATGACCACATAGGAAAAGGGTAAATTTTCTACCCAACTAGAACAACCACAAGGTCAATTTCCAGNTGGTGACCTTAAGACTCACATACAGAAGTTGACCCAGGCAATGACCACATAGGAAAACGGTAAATTGTCTACCCAACTAGAACAACCACAAGGTCAATTTCCAGTAGGCAACCCTTTCACGACAGATCCTACGTAGGAGCATGTTTAGGTAGTCACGACCCTTAGAAGTGGGAAGGTTGTAGATAAGACAACACCACCACACACAGAATCTTCACCCTTGGTTGAGCCTGTGCAAGTCTCTCCAGATGAGACTGGGTCTAGGGAAATTGAGAAGCCACTATGTCGCATACTTGCTCCCTTTCCCCAAAGGCAAAAGAAGCCCCAAAAGGTAAACGATTGTGTTAATATTTATGAGTTTTTTAAGCAAGTAAAAATCAACATTTCACTTTTAGATTCTATCAAACAGGCCCTTTATTATGTCAAGTTCCTTGAAACAACGAGAAAAATTAATGATAGGTTTACTAATTAGAAATATTTGCTGAAATTTGATTGCACAAAGATTTAAAATTGGATGGAAATAGAGAGATAATGAGATTTTGGATGAAGTGAAAATTCAAATGGAAGAATGGAAAAAATATAAGAAAGAAAAAAGATTGAATAAGAGTTCGGGCAGAACAAAATGAAAGAGATGGACTCTTGGGGGAACATGATAATTGTAAAAAAGTTTTAAATAGAAATTTAAGTTTGTGTAGAGTTTTTTATAACAAATCAAAATTTTCAACATTGAGTCAAAGTTTAATCTATCTCTGAAGATGGCCTTACAACACATGATCTATTTATTGTAAAACAAGGAAAAGTGATACTGTGGTGGGCCCAGTTACTACCAAATGACTAGTGCTCAATTTACAGCACAATGGGGAAAGGTTAACACAATGGAATAATATTTTACCATCAAATGAGGTCAGGTTACAACAACTTGTGGTCAATTTATAATACAATAAGGGAGAAGCTATCAAAAAATGGGATAAGCTTCCAACAAAATTCGGCGAAGTTATTGCCTAATAGAGTCAATTTACAAGCTAACAGGACCATGTTATAACACGGCATGGCATAATTAACACCAAATGGGGCTGTGTTACAAACCAATGGGAGTCTATGTCCACCAAATGAAAATAGATTCCCACATTATGTTGTAATTTTGCCCTAGTTGTTCGTAAATTACACTCATTTGGTTCTAACTTCACCAACGTGCACTATTAGCTCACCTCATTTTGAAATAATCTCCCCCATTATTGTAACTTATCTCAATGAATTGTAAAATGCCCTAATTTTGGAAGTGTCACCTCTTTTATGTTGCAACCTTCCCCATTTTGCACTAAATGGATCCCATTGAGTTGTGAATTTACCCCAATGTTTTGTACCATTACCCCATGTGATAGTAGTTGTACCCAATTGTCTTAATCTTAACTCCTTTTTTACCACAGAATATGGCCAAGTCTATGCTGACATAGACAAGTTGGATGCTGACTTCAACTTATTGTGACGTCTGCTTAACTGATTCCAATGAGTTTGAGAGGTTTTAAATTGTAAAGTTCTTTACACAGAAAGAGGGGAGAGAGAGAGAGAGGAGGAGGAGGAGGAGGAGGAGATAGTATCTGAGAGTGGTTTTTGAGAACGTCTATCCCATAAATTATGCATTAACAAAAGGAGTTACCCAAAGTACAAAATACCCCTGAACCAAAATAAAAGATCTACCGCAAGACTTTTGATGTCATAAAAAATTGAAAAATTCCGCCAACAGGGGATTGCACACCCAGACGTAGATATGTTATATAGCAACACAATATGATGCAATATGTGCACTTAGCGCCAGAGGGAACATAGGAATAATACGATAATCAGACCAACTTAAATCCATTCCTTTATTTTCTTCTCTTTTGAATTAAAGACAAAATTTGCTTTGCTATGTACATTAGTAGTCAAAATGTGGTTACAAGACCTATACCCAGCTCCTCAGCAAGTTCATCCCATACAGGGAGGAGGGTCAAGACAACAAGAAAAATAGCCACTAAAAGAACTGTTCTTCTCCAAGTTCCAACTTCTGTCACGTCATTCAAGCAAGGTTTCTCTGGAGTCCTCTGTAAAGGGCATATTTGAATGAAATTAGGCTTATACAGCAACAGTAGTTCCTTTTTCCCCGCAGCAAATACCAAAAGTGTATTTTTTATGTTCCTAACTTTTCAAGTTGTTATCCACAATTGTTCACGTACCTGACATATCAGCACATACAATCCCCAAGGAAGTGACAAAGGTCCACCAAGCTGACAGAAAAACAGGCAAGGAACTCAGTAATACCCATTGTAGACCAATCAAAGTATGTTGTAATAGCAGAACTGTTTAAAATATCTTTGCTTAGGGTGAATCAAGAACCAGATACAAAAGCAAATAATCCTACTTAAAGCAAAGGTGCTCATGAAATAACAGCATTAAAGACCGTAAACTGAAAAATAGGAGCATTGTAAGTATATTTAACATTTTAGTAAATAAAACAAGTTCCAACAAAATATATACTAATAAGCAGCATCTGTTAAGTACATCTCTATGATCTCTTCACTTGATATAACAAGCATAAGAATTGGCATTTTCAGGTCACCATATATTAGCAACATCATTAATTACATAAATAAAATTGACGGATATATAGCGACGTAGTTAGCTCTGTAAAAGATCAAGTGAAGACAAGGCATACCACTCCCAAGCCAAGCAATGTGTATGTTGCCAAACCAGATGCAATCAGCGCATTTTTCCCAAATGCACCCTGTAAAAAAAAAAACAGATATTTCACAAAAGCTATACAAAATAGACACTAGAGCCCCAATTATTATTTTGTTGATATAAATTTGTCCTCTTTCCACATTAGTGACGGATGCTTTTTTCTTTTATCATGAAAAATCGAAAGGTCAAATATTCAACCAACTTGATGGCATTCACACTGTGAAATGTGAATAACAGTAACACAAGGAAATGGAGATTTGAATTTTACCATGAGTCGCGATGGAATTTAAGGGTGTTTTGTTTTATTAGGCACCAAGTGTATGGATATATTGATGAGTAGAAGAACTAAAGTGGACACGTCCATGGTTGGGCTGCCAATGTGCAATTGTCTCGTAAATAAATGGGTATTTATACATGTGTCTTGTGATGCATGAAGTAAGGCTTGAGACATGGCCAACAGGCCTAGTGTCATTTACCAACATTATAGGTGTTACAAGAATGGACAAGGTGTGTACACGTATCAAGGAAAAGAAGGGTCAAATACATGCAAGGGGACACCTCCTTACCTTAGCTCTATAAATGGAAGACAAATTCTATAGAAAAGTTTGTGGCCTTCAAGGAGAAGGAAGGAAAGGAAAGAGAAAGGAAGAAAGAGGAGAGAGAAAAGGGGAGGAGAAAGGGACGATAAATCCATGAAGTTGTCATCAAAATCAACGAATGAACTCTGATTAAGATTAAATTGATGACAANGAAGGAAAGGAAAGAGAAAGGAAGAAAGAGGAGAGAGAAAAGGGGAGGAGAAAGGGAGGATAAATCCATGAAGTTGTCATCAAAATCAACGAATGAACTCTGATTAAGATTAAATTGATGACAACATCATCTAATACAGTTGATTTACAATATGGTAAAATCATTACGATTAAGATCAAATGGTACAATGTGATCTATTTTTTAATAGATAGAAAGCCCAAAAAATTTTAAAATAAATTTATTTTTTTAAAAAAAAAATATAAACAATAATATTCATGTGTCACATGCTCAAAATACATCTAACACGTTAAACATAGTGAAAATGAAATATAAGGGTGTAAAGTTTATCTAAATGCAAATGTATCCAATTAAATTACCCCAAAAAAACTTATCATAATGTAAAAAAATGAAAAGTTTATCCAAATGCAAAAGTACCCAATTAAATAATGCAAAGCAAACTACTACTATTAGATTGGTATAGTATTTTTACCCTCCAAAAGTAATCCAAAAATAAACTTACCCACAAATATAAAAAATGAAAAGTGTGAAAATTTTTATGCACCGGCAAAGACAGACATGCTTTAGGGACCGCTCGAGTGGCCTACACATGGCTCAAGTGGTTTTCCTGAAGTATAGGTGATAGGACTTACAATTTCAATTTTTAGATGCCTCTTTCTCCTATCATGAGCCACCCTTTTTTTTATAATCTTATCCATCACCTATTTTGCTAAAAGTTTTAGACAAAGGCTAGGATGATGTTAACAATGGAGACGATCCAGCTATAGGAGCTGTTGATTTTGGAGACTTAGATCTAGTACTTTATGGGAGCTTGGGAGCTTTTATATTTGTTCATTGTCCATGATTAAGGACTTTGCNCGATCCAGCTATAGGAGCTGTTGATTTTGGAGACTTAGATCTAGTACTTTATGGGAGGTTGGGAGCTTTTATATTTGTTCATTGTCCATGATTAAGGACTTTGCTTTTATTTGTTTGATTTTTATTTTGTTGTGTGACGTACTCATTGTTTTAAGCGTTGATGTCCATATCATTTTCAACTAAGAGTTATATGTCATGCTTATCTTTCTTATTCAACTTTGCCTATTCTTGTTGATGCTAGATGCTCTGAAATGCTGTTCTCTTTTACGTCGTGATTCTCTACTTGTTATGTTTGTTTATTTGGCAATTCATGAAAAAAAAAGAGAGAATTTTTTAGGGGTAATTGAGAATATTGGGAGAAGTTCCTATGACTAGTTAGGGATTAGTTGCATGAGAATAAAATAAAAAGGGAGTTTGATGAAAATATTTAGGGAGAATACATTTGCAAACTTGGCATTAAGTCACTTTATTTTCTTTGTTATTTTACACTTGTTATTTTCTTGTGTGAACACCCACAAAGGAGGAGAACTTGTTTTGAATAGTTTTTTTCTAAATCTGTAAGTTCTCAAGCATAATAGGACTAGCATTGTTTATATATTGCATGGATTACACTTACATGATGCTAACATCAAAATGGCTTGTTGCTTCTCTTGGTATTATGTCATTTACATATATAATTTTTTCATGACGTATTGGTTGAGAGTTTTAAGTGTGTAGGACTATAATCTTCAAAGCAACATTAAAAACAACTTTTGTACATAGATCGAGATTGTGAGGCTTGTACTCGAGTGTTGAAATCGTTTTATAATTCTCTTTATTCTTTGTGATTTTCAAGTTATAATATTAAATTTCTTACTCTTGTATTTTGTCACGAAATTGCCAATGGGTGAAATTGATAGAAAATTGATTGTAATCGACTAATTTTGTAAAGTCCTGTTGTAAATCTCAATCTAAGCCCATGGTTATGATGCTTCAAAGATCAAGTTCTAAAAGCTTCAAGGAAGGAAGGAGTTCAAGCTTTAAAGTCGTATCAAATGATCTCTAGTGCACCTTCAAGAGTTTAGGACAAAGATAATGACGTAAATACCTAAGAACCCCTTAGTTTAATTTTAGACTTTGGCTAATTAGGTTCATTGAAATGGATTTAGGAATATTTGTTAATGACTCTTTAGGCTTTCATGAAAAAGATTATCTAAACATCAAAATGTGTTTTGAAAACATAGAATGAGTCATAAATCTGATTCTATTTGAGCAACACTCCTTGGTGCTCAATAGGTCAAGTTATTGCTTAGTTTGTAGCTTAAAAACTAGTAGGGACCGTTCACTCCTCTTGTGTTCTGTGGTCCTCGAAAACTTAGGAAAAAATTAAAAAAGGTTGACGAGTTGGGTAATAGAGACTGCCCTGTGGCCGCTCGTAGGCCACTCGTGTGACTTGCAGACTGCTCAACTGTTTCTACTCAAGATGACTGGTTTGAACTATTTTTTCATTCTAGTGCCAACTGCCGTCTCACTGCTATCTTCCAGGTCGAGCAGTGATTCGCACATTTGTGTTTACTTGAACCCCAAGACAAACCTAATTGCAAACCTATAAATAGGTAACTCTCTTAAAAGCCAAAAAATCAGCCTCTTAAACCTTGAAAGAGCCAAGAACAACCCTAGATCCCTAAGATCCAAATCGCATAACCATCTTGATTCTTCCTATTCATCCACACACATTGAAGAAGATCTAGATTGGTATTCTACAAAACCCATTTTGGTGTGTGCATACCGAGAATCTTGGGTGAAGATCCTTGAAAATTGTTTCATTGCGGTGAACACATCCAAGTGAAATTACTTAAGACTTCGGTGGGTGAATCAAGGAGAGATTTATAACAGGAAGGAGCATCTAACCATAGGAATTGATTGAGGTATAAAACTCTAGTCCTTGTAAACTGAATTTGCAGTGGTGGATTAGACTCTAGGCGAACCAAAATCCGTTCTACGATTTTTCCTGAGCAAGCTTTTCGTGTCAACAAATTGCTTTTGTTGTAGATGTTTTTATTTTTGCATTTATTTTGCGCTCACACTTGTAAATTGTACACTATTTTTGATGATTTGACACTTTAATCGCACAAACTATCATTCAACCAATCAAATCTGACTGGGATAGATAACAAGGAGAAGGTATTTTCATGGACGACATCGTTGATGATTTTGATGCTTTAAATTTGTGAAATGCAATCACTTTAAAGTTTCAAATCTCGNACTGGGATAGATAACAAGGAGAAGGTATTTTCATGGACGACATCGTTGATGATTTTGGTGCTTTAAATTTGTGAAATGCAATCACTTTAAAGTTTCAAATCTCGTCTAAGATGACTCATGACATCTTATCACAAAGTGTTACCATATAGCTTCAAAGTTTGCGTTTAGTGTCGAAGGTAGAGTTACTGATCAATATCGATGTTCATCGAAACATGAGATAGAACAATCTTTAGTTTGTATAGGAGATTGGTCATGTCATGATTTGGGAGTTTGATGAGTCATCCAATGTTAGTATGTTTTGCTATAGCCATGCCATATCTATATTTATCAAATTTTTAATGCTTTGCTAGTGATCTTGGAAGCACAGATACTTCCCACAGGGGGTGCTGTGGCAGTGTCTGACACGGTTAGAAGTGTCCTAAATAGTGAACTCAATCGGACACGATCAAGACACGGTCAAGAATTTTTTTATTAAAAAAATAACTTTCAACTATTAAAAGGAGTGTGATTTTTACTTTTTTTAACATTTTTTGTTATGTAACTTATGTATTATGAATGTTAATTGATGCAATGATGTTTGATAAAAATAGTGGATATTTAATTTGATTTATTTTAATTTTAATCAAAAAATAATATTTACTAAGTCTTATTATTAATATTGTTATAATATATGCTTTATTTTTAATATATTATAACTATTATTATTTTAAAAATATAATATATTATTTTAATAGTCGTATCCTTGTCGTACCCATATCCTATATTTTTTAACTTTATCATATCTGCATATCTATATCGTATCAGATACGCCACCTGTATCCGTATCCGTACTTCTTAGCTAATGATGAATCAAATTCCTGACAGAAAAACTTACAATTTGAACATTGCCATAATCTGAGGACCCTCGCAATCTGAGCATCATTGCCATTTGGTTATTTAGTCTCTTCTAGTCATGAACATATCAATTTAACTTTTCACTATTTCTATTGCAATAGTTTATGCTCCTCTCGTGATTTTCTCAGCCGTTATTGTCTCTCTTTGAGCTGCTGAGTACGTGGAGATGGATGCTAACTGGGACGTGTCTAATTTCCCGGGGACTCGTTCACCCATTATTGTACATTTTAATCAAATCACTCCCTCTCAGGAAAGAAGACAAGCTCATAACTAAAAAATATAAAAGTGCATATTTCTGTGACCAAGCAGACATTAGAGCAAGAAGCATTTGGAGGGAGTCAAGCTACCTTTTTGACAAAAGCATGAGATAAAAAATCCCATGAAGACCCAACTTTTTCCAACACCCCAGGAAAATTTAAGAAACTACAAGAAAGAGTAGATTTTACTTGTGGCTGATGGAATTGGAACACTATCAGAGCACACAAACACAATAACAAAAAGCAATTTCAAGGCTTTATTTTACCATATTGGTAGGCCCTTGTCAGATTATTGTGCCAATGCATATTTTTTATTCCAGATTCGTTATGAGAATCAGAGTGGAGAAGGAAGAGGAGGAACAACCGAGGGTAACAAGGTCATTTTTGTATGACAGGTAATGGTAGTAATAGCATACCATCCACTTTCGTCCAAAACCGTGAGGGTTTTGTGATTTTATTTGAAGCATAGGAGAATGAAGTCATATGGGACCCCAACCACAAGGGGGAATGGGGAGCAACTTTAGAGAAATGTAAAAAAAATCCTTTGAGAGAACTATATAAAAGGTAAGAATTTATGACTGCGAGATCTGAGTAGAGATATGATTCCCACCTAGTCAGCATGATTTACAACCTTTAATTCTTTGTGAGGTTCTCCTATCCTATTAGCTAAGAGACTAATCAGTCCTTCGATAACNAAGGTAAGAATTTATGACTGCGAGATCTGAGTAGAGATATGATTCCCACCTAGTCAGTATGATTTACAACCTTTAATTCTTTGTGAGGTTCTCCTATCCTGTTAGCTAAGAGACTAATCAGTCCTTCGATAACTGGTCATTTACAGACAGCTTTCCTATAAAAGGGACCAACGATTTTGTCTGAATCTTTGTGGAAGAATAAGAAGTGGTTCACCAGCCACTACATCTGTGGATCCCACCAAATCAGTAAATCGGGTGGCATGAAAAAGAGAGAGTCAAGCATGACAGAATTCCCAACTTGCTATAGTTCATCGACTAAGCTCATTCTTTTATACTAAAAAAAACAACCAGATCTAAGATCAACAATAAATTTCTTTTGTCATCATACATCATAATCAGAATCAAGTCACGTTAAGGTCCCTCTTCGAGTCTTTCCCTCGAGGGTGAATAAAAATGAATCAAATAGTATCCACAAAATGGGAAGTTTGGCTTCCAAAATAACAAATCCTGAGCAAATGCATCCATTTGAAAGGCAAGTCTAGAATAAAAATTCTCCAATCCTCAACTCACGAACTCTCATTTACTCCATTTGTGGTGCTCAGTCTTGAATCTTTTTTTGTTTTTTGGTGAATGCTGCTCTCATAGTCAAATTACAAATTCTATGTATCATGACCAACCCACCAATAAGACAAACTTTCCTTAGTTTTACGTTTTAGGCAATGTTCATGCACTCACAAGGGCAACAACTTTGCAACTTTAAGGGTGGGTGGGGTTTAATCTCTATCACATTACTTCAATTAGAATCAATCCTTGAAACTGCTGTGTCTGAATTTAAACAGAAGAAAAGGATTGTACACCTGCATAGCTCTTCCACCATCAAGACATCCAACTGGAAGCATATTAAAAGCTGATGTTGTTAAGCCACACCTGGAAGAAGGGCTTGAGCAGTAAGCTATTTAAATTAAAAATAAATCATGATAAAGCAGTAACACCCAAGAATGGTAGGTTACCAGCCAGCAATCACAAGAGGATGAATTGAAACTGCCGCTGCATGCATTGCTCTGCACAGTCATAACAGCAGAATGACAAACTATGTAACTTGAAGATGAGGCCAAAACATAAGATACCTTCAAAAAAGTACACAATACCAAAAATACTCAAAATAACATACCAAAGTTGAATAGAGACACAATATCTGAAATAACAAATGCCTTGGCCTTGCCCCCAAGGGGACGCATGAGTTTGGCCACAAACAAGAGTGGTTCCACTAAAAGGGGCACAAGTGGGGCAAGTTTGGTTTATTTTAACCTCAACCATGAACCAAACCAATATAGGTTCGTGAAGTTGGCTGGGTTTCGCAAGAGTTTTTACACACTTTCAATTAGATTCTTTACAGTAATAGATTTTAATGCCAAAACCAATCATTGTTTTTAGTTAAGTTTTGGCAAGGATGAACCAACTCACTAAATTCAAAGTACAAATATCTCAAAACTATCAACAAAAAAAGGAATATTTACGGTAAGTAAGCACTAAAATAGAATAGAGAAAAGGGGAACAGAATACTATATATAAAGGCCTAGATACATAATTGGGAGAGTGTTTGTATATCAAGAGTAAAAGAAGATGAAACAAAAAAATAAAGGACGAGAACTAAATGAGCTTTAAGACCCCAAAGCAAAGAAGAATTCGAATAACAATAAAAAAATCTTGCTACACAACATGTACATATATACACATATAATTAATGACATATCACCCTACCACTAAAAAGAGGGACCCAAATTACCTCAAGAACCAAGTTAAACCAACCCAACAGTAGTTGACTTGGTTCGGTTTTCGGGTTGCACCAAACTATCTTGTACCCCTATCTTGTAATGATTTTTTCAGTCTGTTTAGCATCAATTTCAGACAATTAAAATTATGAAGACAAAGAAGAAACGTACGCATAACCAAGAGTGCCTCTACTAATGAGCCCAAGAAGCAAAGAGCCTTGAAATAGCATGCTAGGAACCTGCACCAGATCTCCTGCAGCTTCTGGATTTGATGAAAGCAACAGCCCAACAGCGAACATTGAAAAAGACAACGCAACACTGGCAAATGGGCCAGCTAAAGAAATGTCAACCTTCGTCTTTCGATCAGGGAGGATAGATTTGAACTACAAGATCCAATCAAAAAGAGATGGGCAAAAAAATTGTGCCCATAAAAAAATCAGAAGGCATTACTGAAATCATGATGAAGCATCAAACAAATGAGTATAGATGCTTTTTAATTATAAGACAAGATTATTCGTTCCCAGCTATGCTTTTTAATTCAACCAATGCATCTTAGGGTAAGGGTCCAAACATTATTATAAACATAATTTGTCAAATAAAGCACAAATATAAGACTATTTGATTCAAATAAGGCGCCTCAAATATGATAGTCTGAACACACCTGTCATTGAATGTGCATGTGTATGTAAATTTCGGGGACGAAATTCTTTTAAGGGGGGAAGAATGTGAAACCTGGGAAAATTTTGAATTTTTTTCTAAAAAAGGACAAAATGGTAATTTGTCATTCTAATGCGTATTTAAAATACATATTTTTATTGAGCTCGGATGCAACAATTGACCTCACCGTTGGATTCGCATTGCGAAATCTAGCTGTCCTGTCAATTTTCGTTGAATTCTGAGATAATCAAGTTTTCACTTTTTTAGGCGAATGGCATCCAATGACCCCCCAAAAACGAAATTTTTATAAAAATTTTGAAAGTTGAAAAATATTTTAAATAAAGTTCATATAAAATATTTTGACGTTAAACCGGTATGAAATTTAATCGTTTCGGGGCAAAAACAGACCCGGACAAAAGGGGACACGTGGCGTGACTCAGGCCAAGCCTTGGAAATTATAAATAGGGCTAAATATCAGATATTTCAACAGAAATATCTTTGATATTCAACTGGTTTCAGACGTTGGAGAGAAAGAGAGAAAAAAAGGGAAAAATCCAATTTTGTCTCTACGATTCAAGAAGATCTGTCGGTCGGAATCGCTCAAGTCAAGAATCAAAGTTAATCAACGCGACAAGAGCTACGCGTGGGTACCAAGAACGAAGATTTTCACCGAAAATCAAAAGGCGAGATTTTGGAGAAATTAAAATCTTGAGCTTTAGAGGTGTTCTTGAAGGTTCTAGAATTCATTCTACACTCTATTGAAGTAGGGTTTTTCCTACTTTGGTTTTACTTCTACCTTAAGGGGCAATTTTTGGTGGCTGAAATATGACTGTTATGTGGTTGTTTTATGGCTGAAATATAGATGTCTTATGGCTGTTTATGGGTTGTCCAAATGGACTGTTTTTGGACATGTTTTAATGGGTGAAATTGGTTTATATGTGAGCTGTTTTTGGGACAGTTATGGGGCTGTTTACGGGATTGTTTATGGACTGTTTTTATGGCCTGTTAAGGGCTGTTTTTATGGCCTAATATGGACTGAAATTGTGACTGTTTTTAGGTCATTCATGGAGTGTTTTTGGGGCCATTTCATGGATTGTTTTTAGGGTCATTCCATGGGCAATTTTTAGGCCATTCATGGACTGTTTTTAGGGCCATTTTACGGACTGTTTTAGACCACTTTACGGACTGTTTTGTGCTCCAATTAGGGGCTGTTTTGTGGGTTGTTATGCGGGCTAGTACATTGGCTGTTGTATGTTATAATTTGCCTTTGTGATTANTGAAATTGTGACTGTTTTTAGGTCATTCATGGAGTGTTTTTGGGGCCATTTCATGGATTGTTTTTAGGGTCATTCCATGGGCAATTTTTAGGCCATTCATGGACTGTTTTTAGGGCCATTTTACGGACTGTTTTAGACCACTTTACGGACTGTTTTGTGCTCCAATTAGGGGCTGTTTTGTGGGTTGTTATGCCGGCTAGTACATTGGCTGTTGTATGTTATAATTTGCCTTTGTGATTAAGTATGTTATTGACATAAAGATAGTGATAACATGCTTGAAATTATTTTATGAAAAAATGTCAATGTATATGCATGCGTGTGTTATATTGATATTGGTGATAAATTTGGTATCTATATGTTTAGAACATAACTTATCATGGATATGTTGAGATTGTTCATATGTCATTCATAGCATATTGAACATTGTAGCGTAGTGCATAGAAGCATCCCATTCATGGGCTTAGGCATGAGTATGGGTGTGTGTGTGTGAGTTGGGCATGGTTCATTCAAGCATCATTCTTGGTGATTAAAGGGTAGGCTCAGAAAAGTGGGATTGAATGTTCTACTGGCTCATACAGTTACATACATAAAAAAAACTTGTGTCGGGTATAGCAAGTAGGGCTAGACACTTCCTCAGGTGAAAAACTCAGCCACTTGGTTCATACACTTACCGGCGGTGAAATTCCAGAAAAGTGTAACAGCGTACGAAGCCGGAGGTGTGATTCCTGAATCCGATACCCAATAAAAGCACATAATTTTGATATATAAATTATTCATTTGATGGGAAACATCCAAGAATGAAATGGTTTTATGACATATGGTTGATTTCAAAATGATCTTTGGATGTGTTTCATCAAAGACGTTGTTTTACACATATGCGTTGCATTGTGTTGTGGGAGTCGGTGAGGACTCGAGTTAAAGTTGCATGAGTGAGTTTCATCTCANAAATTTGGTATCTATATGTTTAGAACATAACTTATCATGGATATGTTGAGATTGTTCATATGTCATTCATAGCATATTGAACATTGTAGCGTAGTGCATAGAAGCATCCCATTCATGGGCTTAGGCATGAGTATGGGTGTGTGTGTGTGATTTGGGCATGGTTCATTCGAGCATCATTCTTGGTGATTAAAGGGTAGGCTCAGAAAAGTGGGATTGAATGTTCTACTGGCTCACACAGTTACATACATAAAAAAACTTGTGTCGGGTATAGCAAGTAGGGCTAGACACTTCCTCAGGTGAAAAACTCAGCCACTTGGTTCATACACTTACCGGCGGTGAAATTCCAGAAAAGTGTAACAGCGTACGAAGCCGGAGGTGTGATTCCTGAATCCGATACCCAATAAAAGCACATAATTTTGATATATAAATTATTCATTTGATGGGAAACATCCAAGAATGAAATGGTTTTATGACATATGGTTGATTTCAAAATGATCTTTGGATGTGTTTCATCAAAGACGTTGTTTTACACATATGCGTTGCATTGTGTTGTGGGAGTCGGTGAGGACTCGAGTTAAAGTTGCATGAGTGAGTTTCATCTCATTTCATTGCATGGCATGGTGAATTCCAATATAGAGTTGCATATTCTAACTTGAAATGTTGATGTGAATATAAACTGTCAAATGTGAACATTACATGTGCACTTAGGTGGGGAGTAGCCCTTGTAAAATATACTCTACTGGGCGTTAGCTCATCCTATACGGGAAACATTTCAGGTACGGGTCATACGCCGAGGGACGGCACTCACTCGGGCACTTAAGGAGGAAGAAAAGCCGACTTGTGGCTTCCAATCCATTTCTTTTGTAAAATTAGACTTGTAATTAAATTTTGGCGTGTAATTTGTAAAGGAATTGTAATAGAGTCTATATGGACAGTTTTAATATAGTCTTGCATGTTTGTATGAGTACGGATAATTGGACCCGGTGTGGTCATTGTTGAATATTGGACCTCGAATGGGTCTTGTTATTATATAATGCACAGGTTGTGTTTTGAGTAGAATTCCCCTTACAAAGGAGACTCTACCCAAATTTTTAATAAAGGATGGACCCCGGTAAATGGGGCATAACATTGAGAAATCAAGTTACTCGGTATCCACGGACATTTCGCGGTTGATGGGTAATCAACGGACCCCCGGATTTTAANGACTCTACCCAAATTTTTAATAAAGGATGGACCCCGGTAAATGGGGCATAACATTGAAAAATCAAGTTACTCGGTATCCACGGACATTTCGCGGTTGATGGGTAATCAACGGACCCCCGGATTTTAGGGTGTCACATGGGCCCTATTTCAACTTGTTCCACAAGTCTAAAAATTACAAATATTTTTCTAACTCTAAAAAATATAAAAAAGACACATACAATACTAATACCACTAAACTAACTCAAAGTAATGGAAATAAGGCTTAAATATGTTTATACAAGCTCCCAAGTAAGCTTTGTCAAGGTTTATAAAATGTGTATCGTAGTACATTCGTTTTCTTAAACTAGTGTATAACCTATCATAGCTTATCGTGTATCGTAGGATATGCTAAATCCATCAATATCAAAATTTGAAGTTTAGCAAAATCCCAGAAAAAAAAAAGTCCATCCTTATAGTCCTATGAATCACATTTTTATATTGATCTTAAATTTCAACGACAACAATATCTTCATCATCTAATGCAACAAGTCTTTACCTCTAGTTATATTTTTCAACCTTCTCTATGTGTTCATCATTTTCATTATTTGTTCAACTACTTGTTTTTCTTTAGATTTCTAATTTGACAAAATATTTCTCAAGTCCACATAGAGACAATATAGATTATATAGAACATTAAAATGATTGAATGAGTTAACAAATTAAAAAGTTGTATATACAAATTATATAGGGCATTTATCTTTCATTTTCTTTCTCCAACTTTCTCCTTTTTAAACCTATACAACGCGTATCATAATGTATCGTGTATTGAAAAGTATAGTATCATGTGATACTTATTGTGTATTGTATGATACTTTGTAAAAATAAACACTTTACACAACATATCGTTTTACTATTGAAACATCATACATATCATATGATTCTAACAACCATGGGCTCCGAATCATCCAACATGTGCCAAATTCCATATTTTGTTGCATTTTTGAATTTGTCTGTCCCTGAACATCTTATGGGCTGCATTAGTATCCCACGTTGAATGATTAATGCTTCTAACACTCATGTGCACTGTTGAAATAAAGAAGCACTTCTACTTACAGAAATAAAAACAAAAAAACCAAAAAGCACTTCAGGAAGGGGAGTTTGGGTTTGATTAACTGCAACTATGCACTCGATAGCATCTTATCTAAATTATTTTCTATCTTCAAGTTTGCAGCGCATGTCAATGAAATTTTCACCGAGTGTACATTTCTTAAATCAATATCTTCAACCAATACTAACAAGATGGGAAAATATTACAAAAAAAAAAAGAAGAATAAAATGAAGGGTTAAATAAGTACGCCGTAGGTTGCAAAACAGCATATTTAATTACCAAACAGCCAGCAATAAACGACCAGATCAAATCATCACGCATGCTTCTCATCCAATTTATGCATTTATTCAAAGAATAAGCCTCCTTGCTAATATCAACCACCATGGAGAAGTATCTTGGTGCATATCTCAGCAGAAATGTTGCGTTCTCAGGAAATATAGAAAAACAAGGAAAAGAACACAAACTTATGCAACTCAACGGTTCCATATTGCAAAGCTCCTTAGAGAAATAACCTGATAGCTCACCTTAGTGATTGCACCAAAGCTTCCAAGAGTTATATTGGGAATAAAGTAAGGAATGCTTAATTTAACTTTCTTCGGGAAAGCAGCCAGAAAATGCCCAACTTCCTGCAAGGAATCAACAACTTCATATACAAATGAAAAATAAACATGGTTCAAGGTTACGGTATCGGTAATCAACTCGGAGAACTCTGAGACACATTAGCTGCGTCGTCGCGGCGCAGTATCGGACAATACGAGTTAAAAGAAAATGTTGAACATGACAAGAAATTCAAGTTATATTGCGGCGTCGTGGAACTTAATCAGCTAATTCGGTAACGATATTTCGGTGATTCGGGATTGACTTGGATACAACTTGGACGACTCAACTGAGTTATGTGAGACTCGGAATTTATACGTATCATGTAACGGTATCGTCTCCAAAGGTGTCGAGATGGATTTGACTCGGTCGACTCATATCGGTATCGACCGATACTTTGAACTATGAAAATAAAAGAAACATGACTAAACAAATGGTGAGTCAATATTTATCCAATATGACAGAAGAGAGAGACAAGTTGACCATAGATCAGAATAAATTTAAGCATTGAACAACAAATTTGAGCAAGTTCCCTCTTTCTTGTTTTATTGCACATTAGGTCATGGCATTCTCCTTCACTAAAATTTAGGTGCATATGATCGCAAGTCGGATGGAGCACAAAACAAATATGAGATGTACCCAAACAGAAATGATAAAATTAAAAGGTAATAAATATGACACATAATCACCTGACTGAGTGAAGGGATTCCCAGTCTTCAAAGCTTTAGGTTGAAATATTGCCATACTTAATACAAGATCCAAGAAAGATATTTCTATGTATCCACAAAAGAACTCAAAACTATTATGAGTAATATAAGCCTATTTAAACACAAGACCTCAAAATTAGTAGGTCATCCAACTAAAAACTATACGGTCTTGGTACAAAATCACACAAGTTTGCAATAAATCAGTGAAAAGAGGTCAAACTGTCCTCACTAAAAGAAGGATGCTGAGAAGGCTTCTGGGTACAAACCTAACCATAGACAATATTTGCACAAAGTGGTGGCATACATATTAGAATCCACAACCTTTCAATTGTTAACCCAATCATTTTACCAGTGCACTAGGCAATGACCTCTTAATAGATTAATCTGCTGCAAAAAGGATCAAATTCAACATATAAATTACATCAGCTAACACTACATGACTACGTGAATCGATGCACCGGAGAAATCAAAAGTCAAGTTACCACTTTCAGCACCTCCTTGAGGGAATCTATATTGTGCATATACTCAGAGATACATGAAACATGCATCTGGTTCTGTGATGTTACAAGATTGAGATATTCCTAAGATAAATTTCAGAATATTGTCTTCTTTGAATGGAGCATGCAGTTTAGGGTAACAGATAAGAAAGAAATTAAATAGATAACCAATTATTCTAATCGTTTGGAATATCTATATTCTTTCGGTGTGATTTGATGGATGCAAAGTCACAAAAAGAAGTTTTGAATGAGGCACTTTTAGCATTACAGGAAGTACCTCAAAACAGAAAGCAACTCATAACCTTAAGAATAAATGCAAAAATGGACTTTTCACTATATTATTTTTCTCTATTAAGATTAACTCAGTTCATCAGATTAACTTTTTAATAAGTTGTTTGGCGGTCATAGGGGGTGCATTTTATTGGTCATATAGAAAATTACTTGCACTAGTTGAGGACAACAATGACATCTAGGCTAGTTCAGTTTATCAGCATTAGCCCCTTAATCTGATTAAAAAAAAAAGGCTTAAAGTAAGGTAAGTCCTGCAGAAACCATGGGATCTAGAAGGCATTCAATCTACTGGATAGTTAGAGAAAAGTTCATTTCTTACATGAAATAGCTGAACCCCCAATACACCGTATGCTAGCGGCAAAGCAAACTCCACGAATGGATACAGAAGCTGCATATCAGGAGGTTCAATTGCATTTGGATCTGTGAAGTACTTAACTACCTCTGGAGGAAGTCGATTTATCTGCTCCATAAGATATTGCAATTAACACAGTAACATACATAGTTTTGCCATGAGATAGACTTCCATTCCTTATTAGTCAATATAATGACCAAAAATATCTAAGAAATATTATAAAATGGATACGAAAATGTAGAAGCCAATATAATAATGTCAAAGTGGATGGACAATTAGCATATACCTGAGAGGCAATTCCTAACTCAACAGATGAAACAATGGTGAGAAGGAACAACAAAAGAGCAATCACATACTGCCAAAGTGTTGTATGCCCTGGTTCTGAAACCTCTTTCCGAAGCATACCAAAGCTGACACGGGGCCCACCTCGTGGATCCAGTCCTTCTGAATTGGGTTCCTCCACCATAAATAGGTTGTACTTATCACTCATGATTTCAGCCAACAGACTCTGGAGTTTGTCAAATACTTCCTCTCTTTTTCCTCTAAGATTTCCAAGGAAAAGTATGCCCTCTCCCAAGTCTCCAAATGACTCCTCTCTAGTCACCCAGAAGGTAGAATAGCCAAAAAGTTTTCCTTTAATAAGCTTTACATCGGCAGGATCAACCTTCTCCGGTCCAAGGAGTTCCATCAGTTTAAAAGAGTCAACTTGGAAATTATTATGAGCTGGTCCAACAGGAGAAATAGTTGGTGGCTGCAGAAGGAAAACAATGATAGGCATTAGACTTTGCATTTCATCATGACGTGAGCCGTGAGGGTTGAAGTATAAAAATTGATCATATTTTCATGTGCCTCAGATCTCTTCTCTTTTTTATTATTCTTAATCAAAGTCATAAACCACACATCACCCTAATGTATGATCACAGAATTCTAGCCTTATCCTACATATATTATTGTAACATTAACCTTAGTATGACATTACACGTGCTGCATAGAACCAAAGATAGTTGCATGTGGCTCACTGCATTCGACAGTGTTCTATGTTTACTAGAGGACAAAGTAATGGAAAAAATCCAATATTCAAGTTTTTAGGATCTGGTAATGGTATCACTTCCAAAAAAAATTTCTGATTTTCAGATTTCATATTTTCAGCCTTTAAAATAGAAAAATGATTGAATTAAACAAGTGAGCTGTACTCAATTCACTTTTAGATTTCTATGAAACTGGGTTCTTGGTTACAAAACAAGGCATCTTAAATAAGTTCCCAAAAATGACTTGATTTAGACAATATTTCCAAAACGCTTTACAAAGCTGTATCATTTGTGTTTCTCCTGTCCTTAAAAATAAAACAACTGTTTTAGACAATGAAGCAAAACAGGCCTTAATTTCTCCCATTTTACAACATTTTCTCAGCATAAATCTAAATGCATAGACTATACAGTTGATTTATTAGTCACAGACTCACAGCAAGAGAACAAGATGGTTCATATGGGTCATGTCTTGTTGCGAGGCTAAACATCATATTAACAGTGGTGACCAATGGCTACCCTGTTTCCAACTCTCTCTCCACTTTTCCTCTGTTGCCAAAAAAGGTAGTCACCTAAGGTGTCAAAATCATGAAGGCAATCAATATTCAGTTGCATTCTTGCTTATGCACTAGTTTTGAGATTGGGATTAATCTCTGTTTAACATTTTTTCCTCAGAAACCTAAATATGTCACTAAGAGTATCTGACATAATCCATTTACTCAGAGAGGCTATGGTCTTTTTAAACACTAGGCATGATGAAGAACTTAAGCCTGTAAGAATGTAAGAAATCCAAAGGCATGTAGAATGTCATATGAAAAATTATCAAAATCAAATATCATGACAGAAACATCAATAACCAAACGTCATGGCAAGATCATTGTCCCATGATTGGCTCTATTATATTACCGAGTTCTCAAGCTGGGAAGTCTGACAGAAACCCTGGTCTCTCCTAGAAACTCCTCATGGAATTAAGGTAAAAAGTTTAATTGTTTATAACCAAAGGTTTATAATAGTTGAATCTGAATCTAAATGATTGAGAATATCAGTGACATTGAAAATATTCTTTCTATGTGTAAATGCACAATGCCTACATTTTCCCTCCTATACATTGCAGATCTAGTATCCAATCATATTCTGACTGAAATGTGTTATCTATAGGCCATCGATTTGTCTTTCAAAGTTTTTACGAAAATCTTGCAGCCAATTAATGCCATCGATTTGATATCTCCAAGCTATCTCTGAATTTAATATGTTCAATATGACAGGAGGCATTAATTGTTTTTTCCTTCCCAGTTACCACTACATGTCACGTGTTATACNCGATTTGATATCTCCAAGCTATCTCTGAATTTAATATGTTCAATATGACAGGAGGCAGTAATTGTTTTTTCCTTCCCAGTTACCACTACATGTCACGTGTTATACTGAAGGCATGGCTTCATTTGTCTACATTTAAAGATATAGAGATAGACTTATTGATGTAGGATGGAAAGGACCAGGAATCACAAAATAGAAAGAGAAGAAAGAAGAGGTGTGGAAAAGATTTACCTCATCCTCGCAAGGAATCGGTGAACAAACACACAAATTCTCCACAGAAAATCACTTTTTATTATATCACTCTCTCTAATAAAAATAGTTGGGATTACACAATTATTTATATGCCAAGACCCCTAATAAAATAAAAACTAGGCTCCTACTAAAATACTAAAAGANTTATATCACTCTCTCTAATAAAAATAGTTGGGATTACACAATTATTTATATGCCAAGGCCCCTAATAAAATAAAAACTAGGCTCCTACTAAAATACTAAAAGAGTTTCATAATCAAACTCTCAAATCCCTATCCCACTAAAGCTTTATAACAATTTCCTAGTTAAACTCTAATTAATACTCCTAGTCAAACAAATATTCTCTAACTAATAAAATAATACTAAAACAAATAAAAAAATTCAATTCTTCAATTTAAGCCCATCCGATCCCTTTTCGATCTATATCACTTATGATTGTAGGTTATCATCCAACTTTCCCTCCTCAATGAATCCAACATAGTTTATCAGACTCTGGTATTGGGTTCACTTCAATTGCCAGGAATTCAATGTTCTCAAGGTCCAAGTAAAGTAAAACATTCAAAATCCAACTTTTGGCATCTTGTTCTCTTATTCAAAATGAATAACAATTGAATTTTGGGGAAATGGCGCGGGTGTACAAAACTCTCCTATCATAAGCAATCCTTTCAAGAGCAATGCAGAATACATTGGCAACGGTTTCATGTTTCCTGTTATTAAAGTAATTCTTTGAAAAACAAACGACAGATTTCAAAAAAAAAAAAAAATACCAATTTCCCCGACTACCAATTACAATCTAATTGCAGATATACTAAATAAACTTCCATATAAACAAAACAATCAAATCAAATAGAATAAAAACGAACTACAAAAAAATTAAATATGTAGACAACACTCACCCTCCTTGAAGAAATAGAAGGCGGCGACTTTACCGAATCAAACTCATTGCTGCCACCGTCACCCCTATCTTCGGCCTCCTCCTCCGCCTTTTCCACAGTCGCCAAGTTGGAATCTTTGTCATCCGCATCACTACTACCACTACTGTTTCTGCCACTACCAAAACACTTAAAAAAATTGCCAGAAAGTTTATTTTTACACAAAATTTGCCGTCTCTTGGATATTTCTTCTCTGCATAAGAAACACTTTCTATTCTTCGGATAATTCTCAATTCTTTGCCTGACAGTACAACAAATGCTGCCCATTGGGGGACTCAAAGGGAACCTCATGTTTATAGAACTCAAACCAGTCCAACAGCTTGTGAGTGTTAGCGTTCCCATTGTTTATTTGAATATAGATATAAACCAGAAAGTTGTAAAAGTCTTTATAGGTCTCTGTGTGTGTTCGAACAAAGTCCTGTGTGTGTGTCTGAGAGAGAGGGAGAGAGAGAGAGAATTGAAGTATCTAATGAGAATTGCCTATTAGGAGATTTGCAGGGTGAGCTGATTTAGCTAGGAGCTCCTTTGGCTGCGGGCATATGGGAGCGGATATCTTCTTTCTGGTAGATTTCAAATTAGGGCTAATCACACTTTATACCAACAAAAAATTGCTCAATTCCTAATTTATACCTTCAAAGTTTAAAAATCTCAATTTATGCTCGTCATATTATCAATTAGTTGCAATACGAACATATGTGAGACTATTGTTCAGGGTTAGGGTTAGGTATAGGGTTAAGGGTAAGGATGTCAATTTTTGATAGGACACGTTAACACGACACGAATTGAACACGAAACTAATAAGTCAGACATAAAATTAAACGGATCAATGGGTAAAAATGGATCAACACGTTTAAACACAAAAAAATCATGTTTGGTTCATGTCAAAATCAGGTTCACCTGATTTTGACGTGATTAAGTCATGTATTTTAAACAAGTTGATATGATTTTGACACAAACCCCGACTGAACTCATTGTAAACTTATTTAACCAATTTATGGCAATATAATTTACCTATTATGTATGACTGATATGGTCTTGACATTATTACTTATTAGTTATTATTTTTACTATAGTAATTGGCAGTATAGTTTTTAACATTATTATGACATTATAATAGTATAGTTTTTGCTTTAATTTTTGGATTAAAACTTGAATGTATTTTAGTTAATTTCATTAATGAGATGTGATATGTTACTGGTGAAAAAATTATTTAAAATTTTGAATGAATGAGTGAATGATATATTTAATAGCAATGAATAGGTGTAAAAATAAGATATGTGTATTAAACTGGTTAAACATGTTATATTATGTGTGTTAACTCGAAAATGATATGTTTATTAAATATATCAAATAGGTCAAGTTTGGGTAACCCATTTAATAGTAAGATCAAGTTAGTGTTTATACATTTTGACACGATTATTAAACAATCAGGTTCGTGTTTTGAAATTTTTGACATTAATCGATACGAAATGAACTAACTCGACATGTTTGACACCCCTAATTAAGAGTGTTCATTGGCCAAATTGTCCACGTGTCTCGTTACTTTGCCCAAAACCCAATAGGCCTGACAGTTGGTCTACCCGAGCCCGAGCCAAATATCCTTCAAGAGAGGGCTTGTGCCTACCCCTAAACCCATTACCTGGCTCAAAACCCAGCCCAATAANTAACTCGACATGTTTGACACCCCTAATTAAGAGTGTTCATTGGCCAAATTGTCCACGGGTCTCGTTACTTTGCCCAAAACCCAATAGGCCTGACAGTTGGTCTACCCGAGCCCGAGCCAAATATCCTTCAAGATAGGGCTTGTGCCTACCCCTAAACCCATTACCTGGCTCAAAACCCAGCCCAATAACCCACCCGCAAAAAGCCGTTAAAAACACGGCCCAAGAACTTGCCCATCCAGCCTAACTCAAACAGCCTACCCACCTTCCTTTGAAACAAAAAGTTAGACACATTAAATTTAAAATTTAAAAAAGATAGATAGGTGGGTAGGTGTCAAACTAGTTGGGATGTGCTTATTCTATTGTGATGAAGTTCTTCCCTTATTTATAAATAAAATTATTAATTATTTACTTTTTGTTCATTTTAACTCTACTTTTAATTCAAAAATGTAATTTATAAAAATACTAAATTATAAAGGATGCATTTGGTAACGTTTTCGTTTTTCGTTTTTATTTTGATATTTAGAGAAAACAAGAAAAAAAACTCGTTTGGTAACCGATTTTATTTTTCGTTTCTGCCACCGTTTTGTAAACGAGGGCCGATTTTTAAAAACCAAAAAAAGACGTTTTTCATTTTTGAAAAAAGAAAAACAAAAACATTACCAAACAAGATGAAAAATATTCATTATTTATAAATGAAATTGTATATAAAAAGCTCGTACAGTAGGCCTGTCTGCAAGCCCACCCAACAGGGCCTCCTAGTGAGTGGCGGGATGGACTACAGGTAGCCTACCCCTTACCCAAAGTCTGGCCCACCTCCCCTCTGCCCAATAACTCACCCGAGTAAGGGCTTGGTTCTCCTCTACCCAGGCCTAGCCCGAAAAAAATTTCATGGGTCGAGCCCGGCCTAGCCCATGGACACCCTTATTTAGGGTTCTGCCTTAAATACAGGATCAATTCATTGTTTGTATTTAAAAATGCTTGCAAATTATTTTGTTATGAAAGTATGTGGGAGTTTGTGTAGACTTATTTTTATATTCTATGTGGGGCTATCTTTGTCTATTTCACTATTAGAATGCGCCATAATGGTTAATTTGATGGTTGTGGGATCAAAATGTATACTTGTGGAGAATGAATCGCATTGATTTGTGTTAGTCTAACCAAATTTCACTCACAGTGTTGGACAACATGCTAAAGAATATCGGGGTAGGTTACTCTAAGGTTGATATATTCCTCCGTCATAGAGTTGGTAATAGATGGAGAGTTTTAGAAAATGAAAATGATTTGCATCCAAAAGCAGTACAACACCTCTCTCACTGTGGGGGAATATGCTAGCACCAAATAAAGAGCCCAAAGCACCCTTGAACCTATCAAGGTTCTCCACCTATTAGGGGTGAGCTGGGCAGTGGAAAGATTAAGAAAAAAGAGAAAATTATGAATAGAAGGGGTGAATTAGAAACCGAAGCCCAAAGATTAGGGCAACCTCATAAAAACAAACCTCACCTTCAATGAAATCACAAGCTCTTTCATCATTCGTAGGGACCCTCAGCTGAATAGAGTTGGGAATGAAGTATTGAATCTTGATTTTCTCAAGATCATTTTCAATAAGGTTACTACAAATCCCCTTAGTTTAGTAATCCAATTGAACAAATTGCTCTATGAGGGGATCCAAAGAAGAGCTTAGGATCTTTGTTCGCAAGGTCTGCGTCACAAACCAATGGCAAAGGATGATTAGAAGGTGTAACAGTCATAGCAGGAAAGCAGTTGTGACAAAAATAGAATGAAGGATGAAGTAAACAATTGGAAAATTCAAAAGAGACTCGAGCAAGGGTCAAAGGTTCTCGCAAGATGAAGAGTGATTTGAGGGTTCAAGAAAAGCCCTAAATTCCTCATAGAGGACTTCTGTAAACCCCACCCTTTTATCTTTATATATGTATGTAGGTTTATGTAGCAAGTTATTATTTCTTTTGGAAATGTTAATATGGAAATTCGAGAAAATAGTAGTTAAAGCTTAGTTTAGCTTGCAAAAATATGAAATCATTGTAATAGCACTTGTACCAACTAGGTTTGATGTACAAAAGCATGTTGAATAAGCTTGGGTTGGAATTAGAAAGGTTTAGAATGGATTGGAAATGAAAAATGGAGGTTTTGTAGAAAAACAANATAGTAGTTAAAGCTTAGTTTAGCTTGCAAAAATATGAAATCATTGTAATAGCACTTGTACCAACTAGGTTTGATGTACAAAAGCATGTTGAATAAGCTTGAGTTGGAATTAGAAAGGTTTAGAATGGATTGGAAATGAAAAATGGAGGTTTTGTAGAAAAACAAATAAAACCTTCCGGAAGGTTAAAGTAAAAGATTAAACCAGTAGGCAAAACCTTCCAAAAGGTCTCTGGAAAAGTTGGCCTAATAGGCAAACCTTCCGGAAGGTCGATAAAAATGTTTGTCCAGAAGACAAATCTTCTGGAAGGTTAAGGACGATGATCGTCCAGTAGACAAAAGCTTCCGGAAGGTCGATGACAACCTTCTNAAACCAGTAGGCAAAACCTTCCAAAAGGTCTCTGGAAAAGTTGGCCTAATAGGCAAATCTTCCGGAAGGTCGATAAAAATGTTTGTCCAGAAGACAAATCTTCTGGAAGGTTAAGGACGATGATCGTCTAGTAGACAAAAGCTTCCGGAAGGTCGATGACAACCTTCTGAAAGGTTAATGAAAATGGTTTGTTAAATAGGCAAACCTTCCAGAAGGTCTACGAACAACCTTCTAGAAGGTCTTCGAAAAATCTGAATTTTTAAATCGCGAATAGCTGGTTTTCCTTTCACTATAAATACTTAAGGGCAACCCCTTTAGGCCCATTTTNTAAATCGCGAATAGCTGGTTTTCCTTTCACTATAAATACTTAAGGGCAACCCCTTTAAGCCCATTTCAACACTCAAAACCCTAGGAGACCTTAGAGAGGAGTAAAGGAAGAGCAAAACACAAGATAAAAAGGGATTTCAACTTCAAGAAGATCAAAACCAAATCTTTTCAAGAACATCAAGATATGGGTTTTCTTCCATTCTTATTAATTGAGGTTAGAGCTTAATTATATGTATTCTTTTGACTTTAAATCTTATATATATGCTATGAAATCATCTTTCAATGGTCTTTTGCAATTATTAGTGGGTTTTAAACAAAGTTAGGGTTGAATACTCATGAAATCTCATTTTCTTGATATAAAACCCTAGTTTTCAAAAAAGATGGACTTTTTTCTTGATTCTTCCTTTGTTCTTGACTTTGTAACTTTAGGGCTTGGTGTCGTGTAATAAAATGATATTGTGATGATCTCTTGCTTATTTTCTTAAATGGTTCTCTTGTATTACAAATTGTGAAATTGGGGAATTATGGAATTGTTTGTTATTTGAGAAAATTGTTGGAATTGTATCTTTTGTGTGGTTGTTGTGATGGACTTGAATTGCATTTGAGCACTACCANTGGGGAATTATGGAATTGTTTGTTATTTGAGAAAATTGTTGGAATTGTATCTCTTGTGTGGTTGTTGTGATGGACTTGAATTGCATTTGAGCACTACCATAGAGTGTTAGAGGTTAGTCTATCCCAGTGGGGGTAAGATGGTTTCCTAACACTTGTAGTAGTTTGTTGTTTATGAGAGCAACTATTACTGTTCACGGAAGTTCGAGACT